TATATATATATATATATAGGATGTGGTTCAAATGAGAACCAAGTCCTAGTGTGAGAACCGTGAGAACCGCTATTTTTAATTGTATGTAGTGCTATGATTAATTGTGTTTTAGTGCTATTTTTAACTAGGATGTATTTGATTAAAAATAGCAACAAAATTTTTATTAGCATTTATGAAAATGATAGCACCATGTAATATTAAAAATAGCATCATACACAATTAAAAATAGCATCAAATATGGTTCTCACGGTTCTCACACCAGACATAGTTTTTATTTGAACCAGCCCCTATATATATATATATATATATATATATATATATATGGCCTTAAAAAAATCAGGGGGCCATGGGCCTCCTCTCCCTTCCCCCCTGTATCGAAGTATCTAACCTTTAACGACACTGCAGATGGCATGGAGAGCATTTGATAGAATTAACATTTACAATTTATATAAACTAATAACTAATCGCAGGACCATAAGTATATGTATTGTATTGTAATATATTTTATTTGGTTATAATTATGGTTATGAGTCAAAATTTGACCATTTTTTTTTTCCATATTGTTTTATGTGTTGTTCAATATTCTGTTAATTGTGTCATTTATCTTTCAAACCGTATTTTCTAATCCGTATATGTGCCAGTCCGGAATATGATGTTAGTATACCATAGAAAAATACAATAGATATCATGGATAATGACTGTATTGTCCAAAACAGGCATCCATCTTAAATCATTAAGGGGTCGTTTACTTTGGTGGATGGAGACAGGATAACTAAAATTGTCCTGAATTATCCCGAGTTTACTTTGGGGGATTGGGATTGGATTGGTGTGATGTGGCGCACATGTGGCTGTGGGTCTCACTTGTAAATCAGCTATTGCCTGATTAATTCGATCCTGGCCTCCTCATGGGATAAATTAATCCCACACACTCACTGACCATATTACCCTCAATTTTGGAGATGAAAAGACAGTAATACCCCTCTTTGTTACTTTATTTACAGATTTATACCATATAAAATCATAAAAACGGGTCATTGTGTTCCCTATTCTTGCCGAGGTTGTGCCTTGTCGGGAAGAAGCACGGAATCCGTTGATTCTCGTCGAGCCAAAGGTGGGACCGAAGAAGCTATTTGTGATTTATATTCCTGGAATAAAAAAACCATACCTATTTCTGTCGATTAACCCAGATTCGTGGAATTGTAGTTGATATTTTGGATTAATTTTTTTTGGCAGAAACCTTAGATCATAGTTAATCACGCGTGGATTGCTTTTGTTTTCAGTGAGGGTGAAGGTAAACTTCCTATTTGATTCAATTATGGTAAAATGTGTATGTTATTTTGAGCTCATACATATTATGATAGGTTTGTGTNAACGATTTTTGAAATGGCAGGACAAACCTTTTTTTTTTGTGCGGGGTTTTGAATTTGAAGAATTAAATTGTGAAGAAACCAAAATGTTCTTATCTTGTTTCATTTCAAAACCCCATTTGTTTGACAGGGCAAATGAAATTTTGAAGAATTTGAATTGCGAAGGATTTTTGAAATGGCAGGGCAAATGAGATTTCAGAGGGTTCGAAGGATTTTTCAAATCAGATTCCTCGTTTATGAAATGGGGGTAACTTAGGCATTTTATGTCTTATCCTATAATTTTGTCCATAAAAATAAATGTTTGACAAATTTCAGAGATTTTAATCACGTAATGTAAAGGAAAATTTTTATTCATCCCACGAGATATTGAAAATATTACAATTTTACTATTCACAAACCATTAATTGTGTATACACCTAATCTATAATAAATATTTACCTTATTGCCTAAAAATCTGTTACAGATTAACAAACCTCCATTCCATATTTTTTGGGCATGATTTCCGGGTTGTTAGCAGACACAAAAAACAAAAAGGAATTCTTACTTTGGAAATAATATCAGACCTAGATAACGGTTTTTCCAGCAAGAACAATTCACGCAACATGTACTACAAAAAAACATGAACCAGTGAGAAATTGAAGGTGCATTCCATAATTGTGTTTGGAGTGGAAATCAGGTTTTAATGGTATATATATCATTTTTAATGGTATATATATCGTTTTTTAAGGATATATATATCGTTTTTTTTTTTTAAACATTGCTCCTTTGAGAATATACCGAAAATATACTGAATATAAACCCTGACTTTAAATCTTTAACGGTAGAATATACTGAGAATATACTGATAATATACCGTTGAACGTCTTCCTATTAATGTCATGAGAAAATATACCGAAAAGATATTGATAATATACCGAAAATTTTTAACTATTACATACTATCGAACGTCTTCCTATTAATGTCATGAGAAAAAAAAATGGAAAACAGTGAAACATGACTAAAAATATACTGGAAATAAACCATAAAATTTTCATTGAACAATAAAAATAAGAAAAAACTACAAAGTATAGACTCATAAAATCAACTGAACACAAACAAAATGATACAAATAAGCAGTTTTCATTCCTCCCAAAAAACTAATAATATACTGAATAAAATCAATCCGACCGAAACAAACATTCGTCAACAAAAAAATTTGCTAATATACTAAACATAAGCT